GTCGCGCTCAATTTATGAGCAACCATGGCGTAATCGCTATTTTTCGCAGGGCCTATTTAGTGGGGGTTTAAAACCCCCGCTATCTCTTTTCTGATTACAGGTACAATGGAGAAGAAGCTTGCGTATCCTCTCATGGTTGGATCATTTGAATTTTTAGCGCGTTTTTATCATTAGCGTGACTTATTATTCATTATATTTGTTTTGCGTAATACTTACGAATGCGTTGAATGGCACAGTTGGTGGAGAAGAGCCTTTGCAAGCCTTGGGACCTGGGTTCGATTCCCAAGTCCCCCATATGTCTTTCTATTTTTTCTTGCAATGTGATTAGGTACTCTACAAGTCCAGACGTCCACCAAACACCCAACGCTGAAGCTTGCCAAGTGTCCTGGAAGATGCATCTGAAGGTCAGAATGGGAGGTCTAGGGAACACCCCAGTCAACGCATATGCACGTGGCCAGAAAAGTCAAAAGAGGTCTCCAATAAATGGGCCAGATTGCTGGCAATTTACCTCCTAAATTTGGGTCAACACCCCCCATTGGTTTGCATTTCATTTTTCTTTCTTTTTATTTTTTCTATTTTTATTTGTTTTATTTAGTTTTATTTCAATTCTTTAAATTAATTTTTCATAACATAAAAAAATACCAAAAAAATCAGAAACTATAAAAATAAAAAATATATTTTATTTAAATGTTTTTTGTAAATAAATTTTATCAATTAATTTAGTTTTAATTCTAGATTTAATTTTAATGTTTTTTTTAATAAACTAAAAAATGTAGAATTAGGGTTTTAAATGCTTTTATCTTTTTTTTCTTTTCTTTTACCATTACTAATAATTAATTATTTATTTTGTAAATAAATTTGCCATTAAAAAATTAGGTTAAAACTAGGTTAAATTTAAACATTTTTCTTAATAAATTAAAAACAATTTAGAATTAGGGTTAATTAACTTTTCTTTTTAATTCCAATTTAATTTTCTTACTAAAATCCATAAATACAAAAAACTCAAAAATAATTTCCTTTTCTCATTTAACTTAATTAATTTATTAATTGTAATTTAATTTCCTTAAAAGGGTCCAACGCCCTCGCATTCCCGACTTTACTTCTTTTCGCATTTTATTTTTATTTCTTTTTGCGAATATAATGTATTTATCCCAAAGCCTTGTAATAGATTAATTAGGACGTTTATGTTTCCGCATTTTATTTTATTTCAAATCGGGTCTTGGATTTATTTGGCGATGTAGACCCGCGCCTTTGTAATAGCGTAGGACTTTTAATTCTTCATCTTTTAAACTATTAATAACTTGCATGAAAGAATGAATGCCAAACATAAAAACAAAGCATAGATCACCAATGCATGAACAAGATAAACATAATCGAAAACGACACACAAATCACACATCATCCCTAGGGTACGTCTCACTGTTGCCTTGCCCCTCGAAAAGTGGTCGTCGAGTAGAGGACGTTTTAGTAAGTCCTCATGTCCATGAACATGGCATGAGGGTAGCTTCTAAGGTGTCTTCCTATTGCTCTGGTGACCACAATGTCCCGAACCCTCGAATTGACCCGAATACCTCCAACGGTGGTGCTACCTACCTCTCAATGGTGGGATGGCACTACTTTAAGGACATTTACACAGACGAATTCCTTAGGGTAGGTAGACGACTCATAGATACTTGCTCTAATTTCAAAAACAAATCAAAACTTCTTTTCACACCGACACCTTTCAAAAAGCTTCCAAAAGCAATTTTTCAAACACTCTTGAGGACTGATACAAGAGTCGAACTGAAATTTTCAAAGAAACCTTTTAAAACCCACAGTTGAAAAGCAAACAAACAATTTCGAAAACACAAATGAGCAAGTATCTAAGAGCCCATGGATAACCATGGATAGAAAGGGTGCTAACACCTTCCCTTTCTATAAATCTACCTCCCGAACCGAGAGCAATCTCTATAAGGAATTTTTCTGTGCTTTTGTCCTTTCCATTTGGAGAAAATAAAAGACGGTGGCGACTCTTGCTTCCGCGACATTTCGCGAACCAGCGTTAAACAATCAGTTCCAGATCCACCGATCACAGATGGAATTCAATTTTATTGGAGAAATGTAATAATCTTCTTGCATAATATTTGTAGGAAATCAAGCCAATGTGACGAGTCTCCTATTCTCCTTTGATCTAATTTATTACCAAAGTTGAATCACCATATACATCAGGAATTTTGATTATGAGATCAATAGCCTTTTCAAGATCAATGATACAAGCTTCATACTCCGGTGTGTTATTGGTACAATCAAATATCAACCTTGCAGTAAAAGGGATATGTGACCCATGTCGAGTGATAATCACAACACCAATTCCTTTTCCATGAGCATTTACAGCTCCATCAAACACCATACCCCACCGGGATTCAGGATCAGAACCTTCCTCAGGCAAAGGTTCATCACAATATTTTACTTTCAAATACATCACATCCTCATAAGGGAAATCAAACTTAACAAACTGATAATCATCAACTGGTTGGTGAGCAAGTGTTATACCTCAATTTTTGCTCCTAAGATCCCTCATCGCACTTTATACATCTCATGCATATCATCAATTCCATGGTTACGGGATCAAAAGGCTCTTTGGAATTAGGTTTTTCCCTATGAATTGAGGATTCTATCTTATTTAAAGTTGATTCAACTGGTGTTCTCATTATTCTTGGACTGTGAAATTAGGGTTTTGGATCACAAGCATCATAGACGTCTTCCCTAGCAAAATTCCTCGAGATACAAAGTTATCTTCATCAAGATTTTTCAAAGAGAAATAATTAGGGTTTCTCCTATGTGCTTTCTCCACTAGACATTCTTTTTAAAAAGTCTAGAGGACTGAATCAAGGACTTCTTTCTTGTGATGTTATTTGTTAATTGGTTAAGGATTGATTGAAGATATCATCAAATCAAGATGATTCTTGGTGCTTAAGCTATGAATCGATTTAGGATTACTTCTTGAATTTTGATTAAATTGAAGATTCAAATTAAGGTTTCGTTGGAGATGATGTGAAGATTCGTTCAAGAAATGTCATTAAGTACAAATTAATTCTAGAAAATTCGAATAATTGATTGTATGGAATTCAAAGTTGTTGATTAAAATATCATTCAATGTCAATGTGAGTTCAAGCCCGTTCTATGAGAATTCCTTTTAAGGAGAATTACTTGAAATTTACGACATTTATCATTCACTCCAATTCAATTCAAATTCCTTTCAAGTGACTATTTTCGCATAATTTGCCAAGTGGATTTACATTTTAAAGATGGAAGGCTTGTTCAAGACTTAATTCAAGTATCGTTCCAGTATTGATCCAAACCCTTCATCGTCCAAATTCACTATCGAATTGTCAAAGATATGATCCCATTTAAGCTTAAAGCAATTCATCATCTATTATTCGAGATGTCAAACTTCATGGTTTATTCTATAATGAAAAATCAAAGAAAATGTTTCGGATTTCAAAATGCAAATTAGAGGAAGTTTTGTTCATTAATATCCTCAAGTCATTACAAGTTGAAATACTAAAAAAAAGAGAGAAGGAATTGCAAGACAAAGTTCAAATATCATCCGTGATTACATTCAAGGCGCAATTGCAAATGTTACAAGAAAATTCCAAGCAATACAAGAAAAAAAACATATCCACACATGAGCCTGAAAATCTGTACACAAAGTTTGATTCAAATTGATGCCATTTCCTTGTTTTAATTTGCCACTGTTCTCTCCAAACGGAAACCAGAAAATCAGTTCAGGTGTGATCAAAAGCGGGTCATTACTTTGTGCCTTGTACCCGTCAAATCAGCAATTCATATATCTGGTTCTTTGCTTAAATTTATAACCAAGCCAAGCATACCTGTTTTGAAAAAAAAATAGAAAATGGAGGAAATTAATCATAAACCATGAAATAAATTCCAGTTTAATAGATCTGTCTGAAAACCTGCATCAGAAAAATCAGAAGTATCCAAAACCAAAAGAAACAGCTTTGCGTATTCATCACGTATATCAAGCTGCAGTTCATTACTGAATATAGAAGGAAAACTGAATAAAAAATCTCACGATAACTAACTCATGAAAGCTCCAGTCCTCAACTTCTCAACGGTTTGTAACAAACAGGGGGATTACATAACATATTCATTCACAGTAAAAAAAATCATAATAGAAAAATAGCAGATTCTATAACTGTCATAACTACCTCAATCCCAACCATCTATTTCACTAACCGATTTTTCAATCAAGGGCTGAGATTGATTACAATCTCTAACCAAATCTCACAGGTTCAATAAACTATATAATATAATTATAACAGAAATCAGGGGGAGCAATTCACAAAAATCACAGAGAAAAAACTCAAGGACTCGCCTTTCAATTCTATCTTCCATAATCTCCACGCTTGAATCTTCATCATGTGGCACCTTCAACCTTCAACAACATCAATGTAAATGTCGTTCTCTGCAACATCACCATTCGGCACAACACCATCACTCTTCGATCTCTCTTTGTAAATCACCTTAAAATATCATCTTCAACCCTCACTCTTCAAATCGATATCACCACACACTTCATATCATCTCTCTGTGCAAGATTACAAACATCAACAATAACTCAGAATACATGAAATCGGAAGAAAAGAGAACAAGCATAATCAAGAACAAAAAGTATGCATAATTGAACCGCTTTTTCTCTGATTCCTATGTGTTTTCGTCAATATTGAAGAACAGTCGGAGTCTCTGGTAGGTAAGCATTCAATTCTCATACCGCTTATGCACTTCTGCGCATAAATCTATGGTGTCTATGTTGTTGTTCTTTCGTCGAAATCAAGGTTGTATTGAGAAAGTGTAAGGAAAATTGAATACGAATACATGCATGAGAGAAATCAACGAAGAACGAAAGATGAAGTTCATGTGAGAGCAAGTGGAGAGCGAGTGAGATCAAACGAAAATCTCCGGAAACGAGAAACTATCGCATAGGATTGTGGTGCTCTTCAATCAGGCATGGTCGTTGTTTGACAGTGCATGGCGGAATCTTGATGAAGAAGATGATAACACGGAGACGGCGGTATGTGATGATGGGAGACCTGAGAAAGAATCGACCGGAGAAAGAAGGGAGTAGTGTCGCTCGTGTTTCGCGGAGGAGAAGAACCACGTTTACAAACTGAAGCTGGATAGTCACATAATCTCAACCCTAATCTCATTCTCATTTGTTTTATTTTTTGTTATTTTTTTTCATAAACTAAAAAAAATGATAGTTTTAATAGTGTAGGAAAGATTTAAAAAAATCTGGGTTGGTGATTGTTGGTTCATGGACCGGGCTTGCACATCCCAGCCAGGCCCGTTAGTTTTTTTGTTTGTTCATCTGATTAATGTTTAGAACAAAAATAACTATTATGGACTGCATTAAATTGGGCCTAGTACCTTACCTTCAGACGTACACTCTCCGACTTTTCTAATCTTTTGTTTTGAATTAGTTTTTTTCTTTTGGTTTAGTTTTTTTCTAACTTTCTTAATAAAAAATTAGAAATGATAAAAGTAAAAAAAACATCAATAAAAAAATACTTGTTAGATTTTTATTTGATTTTAGGAATTAAATCATGATTATCCTATTATTTGAGACTTGTGATTCACTTTTTGTTTGTCGAGATTTAAGTCTTTTGAAGGTTTAGTGTGATATGCAGACATGCTTGATTTTCTGATTGTGATTTATTTTCACATCGGATATGCTTCAACACTTATTCTGAGCATTCAATCTCTGACTATTTGTTTGTTGATGTTAGCTCGCGCGAAGTACTCTGGATTTCTTTGCTTTGGTTGTTCTTTTTACAGACAGTATTGCTCGTTTGGTATTATGCTGCTTCCAATTTATCTTTCCGCACTTTACTGTTTTCTAGATATCATGAGAAGTAGGAATTTTACTACTTTTCTTACCATGAGAAGTAGAAATAAAGATGTATGATGGGGGTCTCCATTGCTGATCATGTCAGGAACCCCTCTGGTTTATTTATAGACTCGTTTAGGGAAATTCCGCATTATTTGCAACTGTGTGCTACTTATGTGTGGTTTGTTTAAAACCCTACCTTTGTATAGGTATTTTTCAGGTTCGTTTATATTTGTGCTCGCATATGTTACTGATGATAAGTCCTCAAAAGGAGGCAAGCGTGAAGGGGTTAGTAATCAACCCTCGCAATTTCGTCTGTGTCATCCTTAGCTCGTGACGCACCATGATGTTTCAGAATTGTGCTTACTCTTGTTATCGAGTCGTCAAGTGGAAAATGGTTTTGTAACTTATCCCCCACTCTATCAAAAGTTTGCATTGGCCGATGCTGACACACCGTGATTGTTCATATTTCCATCTGTCGCCTACCTCGATCTTATATATCTTGGTTAGGTGTTCACTTGCTTTAGACGTCACATTTTTGTTTTTTCATCTCACTCCCTCTTGTTTATCTCAGGTGATCCGCTCCCCTTGACTAAAGCATTTTTCTTCTTTTCTTTAACATTTCATGTGTGCACTCTTTCGAGTTTGTTTGCACATTTGCTTTCTATACCATGTTCCCTTCGAATGCGCTTGTTCCTTTCAGATGCAAGTTAGATCTTAGGTTGTGAACCATACATGCTAACATAGAATAGTGATTTCCCTTTCCATCCTTGACAAAGCGCCACCATTGTCTGAGAACACTAGGTTAGAGATAGGCCAGTCTCCCTTAGATGCTTTCTTCCCACTTTTATAATTGCATTTAAAACTAAAATTTATTTTTTCTTGGAAATGTATAAAACATGTTAAACATACAAAATCCTTTTCATGGTAAAAACATCAATCAATTCATTTCTTTTTGCCATTTGGCTTTTCTCTTCTAAGAGCGTGTTGATTCCTTTCCACTACAGTGCGTGAGTCTCTAATGGTCGAGCAGCGGTGGAATGATCGAATTTAACACTCTTCATTTAAAAAATACAAACAAACAAAATTTGTGAGCCGAACTACGACGCTCTGATTCCTTAAAAGGGATACGTAGGCATCTAGTCACGGGGCTAAGCCGAGCGAAAATTTGTAAATATTTCTTTCTTTTCCCCGTGTTTTCTTTGCATGCATTCCCTCTTTGCATTATTATTTTAGATCTTAAGCATTAGATTGAACACACCCTTTGATTAGAACAACAAGAGTGGATCCCATAGAGTACTACGGATGTGAGGGGTGATAATACCTTCCCCTTGCGTAATCGACTCCTGTACCCGATCTCTCGGTCGCGAGATCTTGATTTCTCCCTTCATGTTTTTCTTCGATAATTTTCCTTTCCCTTTATGAGGGATAAATAAATACTCGGTGGCGACTTCATTGATTTTACCGCTACAGCAAGGTACTCCGCTAACACACTTCATTTAATAGCCTTCTGAGTATGATATTCAATATCATATTCAAACAACAGCATCTGCCAAAGGGAAATTCTTCCAGTAAGAGCAGGCTTTTCAAAAATATACTTAATCGAATCCATTTTGGAAATCAACTGAGTAGTGTGATTCAACATATATTGCCGTAATCGCTTTGCCTCTCAGGCCAAAGCACAACATGTTTTTCTAGCATATAATACTGTGACTCACAGTCAGTGAACTTCTTCCGGAGATAATAAATGCCATATTCTTTTCTTCTTGTTTCATCTTTTTGCCCAAAGTACAGCCCATGGAGTTATCCAACACAGTCAGATACATAATTAATGGTCTTCCTTCAACAGGAGGGAGCAAGATGGGAGGCTCAAGCATATACTCTTTAATACTTTCAAATTCCCTTTGGAAATCATCAGTCCACACATAACCTTGATCTTTCTTTAACAGCTTGAAGATTGGCTCACATATTGCAGTCATATGGGAAATAAATTTGGAAATGCAATTCAAACGTCCAAGGAAGTCCCTAACTTGCTTTTCAGTTCTTGGTGCAAGAATTTCTTGAATTTACTTAACTCTATCAGGATCAACTTCAATTCTTTTTTGGCTGACAATGAAACCTAGCAACTTTCCTTAACGAGCACCAAAAGTACACTTATTTGGATTCAAGCGAAGACGATACTTCCTCAAACGCTGAAACAATTTCAACAAGTCTTCTATATTCCCTTCCTCAATATGATATTTGGTGATCATATCATCAACATATACTTCAATTTCCTTATGCATCAGATTATGGAATAAGGTTGTCATAGCCCTCTGGTATGTTGCACCAGTGTTCTTCAACCCGAAGTGCATCACTATCTAATAGAATGTTCCCTAGGGGTGATAAACCTTATTTTTTCCATGTCCTCAGGAGCCATTATAATTTGATTGTATCCGGAAAATCCTTCCATGAACTAGAACACTTTGATCTTTGTTGTACTATCAACCACCATATCAAAATGTGGCAATGGGAAATAATCTTTCAGACTTGCTTTGTTTAAATCTCGATAATCAACGCAGATGCAGACTTCTTGTCTTTCTTTGGTACTTGAACAATATTGGTAATCCACTGAGGGTACACTGATGTCACGAGAAAAATAGCGTCAATCTGCTTTAAAACCTCTTCTTTAATCTTCGTTTCCATGTCAGGATGAGTTCTTCGCAACTTCTACTTGATTGGTGGGCATTCTGGCTTTAGCGGCAAATAATCTTCCATAATATCGATATCCAAACCAGGCATATCTTGATAAGACCAAGAAAATATATCCACATATTCTTTCAGCAACTCAATAAATCTGCTTTTCACATTGGGATGAAGTAATGCTCTAATATTGACTTCTCTCGGATCTTCCTCTGAACCCAAGTTAATCGTCTACAACGAATCTTTATACAGCTGAATGGTATTTTTCTCCCGCTCAAGAAAACGTGAAACCTCTTCTGGTATTTCATCATATTCTTCTTCTTCAGCCACATATACAAGATATTCAAAGTTAGGAGAGAGTGAAAGATCATTGCACTCAACAGTTTTTTAATTAATCTACACATATGATTTATGATTTATTTTAGAAACTGACACGTGTAACAAGTGATTATGCATATTTATTTACAGTTATTATTTATTTCAAAAGGTTTTTTTTCCTGATTATGATTTTCAAAGAAAAACAGAAAATAAAGACAAAATTTAGAAATAAAAAACAACTTTTATTAATGATCTTAAAAATCAAAACAAAAGACATGCCCATAAAACATCACTTTCACCTTGGGAAGAGTGAAAGACTTTTGAAAAGACAAAAACCAAATTACTTTGAAATGTGAATGTAATAAGGAACATCAACAGTGATCCAATTCTGGATTCTGACTCCAGGTGTCACAAAGTTGGACATCTCTTGCTCTGGCTCATATTCGAGAATAGTGTTGATCCTTGGAGTAGTCGGATGGAGATATCATGCACTGTGAAAGATGTCTTAATATTTACTCAAATCGGACTTTGGCTTCATGACTTCATTCTTCACGGAGAAACCCAAACCAGACCCATTCATGTCCACAGGTGGATTAATAATTTGCCACCACACCTTGCTAGGGCCTTTATGCACTACATATTGTGCATCCTTAAATAAGGAGATAAAATCTTCACTCATCCTTATATCATCAATAGACAAATCTTGGAACTAAGTTCCAACAACAGCTTCATCGGCTTCTACAATGCTAAAGGAATACAAATGAGATATCATCAGAGCTTGCTCACCATTCACAATAACTACCTTTCCTTCACAGACAAATTTCAACTTCTGATGCAAGGTTGAAGTAACAGCTCATGCTTCATGTTTCCATGGTCGTCCCAATAAACATCTATAGGCTAGGATAATATCCATAACCTGAAAAGTGATTTGGAATAAGTAAGGACCTATGTGAATAGGTAAGTCCACCTCTCAAATGACATATTTTTTTGAACCATCAAAATCTTTTACTATAATGTCACTGGGGCGCAAAGGAGTTTCCTGGTACTTAAGATTCATGAGAGTACTTCTAGGTATGACATTTAAAGTAGATCCATTGTCTATTAGCACATTGGAAAAAGTGTCATTCTTGCAACTCATAGATATATGCACAGCCAGGTTATGGTTTCTCCCTTCATCAGGCAATTCCTCATCACAAAAACTCAGGTTGTTACAAGACGTAATATTCCCCACTACACCGTTGAACTGATCCAGAGACATGTCACTTTCAATAAAAGCCTGATCCAACACCCTCATCATACATTCCCGATGAGCAGAAGAGTTCATCA